TTGGGAAAGTCCTCAAACACAAGATCAATAGGGTGGTATCCAGTGTAGTCGCTGTATTCATATGTAAGAGAGCAGGAGTTCTGACAAAGAAAGACATGTCATCATTAGACAGTTGGTGGTAAGAAATGGAACTCACTCCACAACTTTTATTGACTTTAAATTTAATGTAAAATTGCATACAATAAAGCTTTAAGAGCAATGTTGTGACTGGTTCTTCAGCTTTACATTATTGCAGTTGGACCTTACCATATCTAGAGAGAATCTGCTGTCAAGACGGCAAAATCCACATGCCTCATGAGGAATGTATCTATGTATTGGTGCTCTGCAGCTCACACGATCCCCATCAGGATCAAAAACAGTCAGATTGATCTTTCGAGGACACTGCTTTGTCACTCTGTAACATAAAATACAACTAAATTAACAATATTGTATCTAAAAGAAATGATCTCAGTCAATTAAAGACACACAATATTTATGATATCTGAGTGTGGCCAAAGGAGCAGGACTCCCACCTGATGTTCTCAGACAGATCTACCTGACCTCCATTAGGCCTGTTCTAGAGAATGTCAGCCCAGTTTTGGGTGGACTGACCAAAGGCTTTGCAGATTAATTTCAATGTGTGCAAGAAAGGTGCTTTAAAATTATCAACCAAGTTATTTCCAAGTTTTATCCAAATTGTACTTTTTAGTTTATGTAACATACATATAAACTAACATATCTGTGCCCCCTCTGGATTCAGCAGCTCATAAATGTATGTCTCAGAGCTGGTGAGCACAGTAGAGAAAAGTCCTTCCATTGTTATTAGTCCATCGGCCCATCTGTTAATCACACCCAAGACCCCTCAACCCACCCATTAGGCCTATTCCCACCCTCCTTTAGGCCTATTCTCAAATAGTATATGTTGGCAAAATAATTTTCTGGTAAAGGGTGTCATTTGTTTTAAACATATCTAACATAATTTGAAACCTTTAAGTAAAAAAAAGAACAAGAAAAGTTAATACAAAAATAAATAAATACAAACACATAACTTCATTGTAAATTAATTTCCATAAAAGCTGGTAAATGTTGCACTTATTTTTCTGTTTTTACAAAGCTGCAGAATCCAATCAGTATTAGAAGGACTGGCAAGCTTAATAATTGATGGCAATGCGATAAATCAATCCATCCATCCATCCATCCATCCATCCATCCATCCATCCATC